AAACAAAACAAGATCCTCCACATCTGAACATTTATAAAGCACTACAATAGATTCTGTATTTAGGACCCTACCTGTTTGGCGATCGTCTTGACCTGCGTCTTCTGTCAAATTCTGTAAAACATTTTAATAACTGCAATTAACTGGGAGATCAGCCACAGCTACTTAGCATTGATACATCACTAGCTACCCTACTTAATCTTGTCATAGTTACTACAGCACTGACGTCTACAATGCTTTCCGCACTAAACCCACCATAAACTTTTAATATGAAAGAGTAAAAAAAACTCTAACTAAGAACAACATTTTCATACAGAGGCCCATCAGTTTCTTAACTAAGGTCCATGAGATTTTCAGGAGGAAAATACTTAACAGGTTTCATCAACAGATGAAAGTGCACAAGTCCTAAAACAGCTATCATAGCTCCTTTGAAGTCAGAAGCCTCCAGAAATTCTTATTAATGTCTGAAGCTACAAAAAAATACAGACACAGCGAATGTGCAGATTTCAGACCAACTTTCCAAAACACAGAAGCCCAATACCTCATTTAAGAGAGACGCACACAAATGTATAGCTAAAAAAACCCCACTATCCCCCCTCACAAAGCAAGCCATCTACAACCTCACCAATAACTAGTATGACAGTTGGATAAAGTATGACATCTGAATTAAAGCACTTAAGGGCTACTTACAGACATAGGCCAAAGAACAGGTTTGGGATAAGAAATGCCTACACACTGGGGGGAAAGTCTAAAACTAAACTTGCCAGTACTATGGTGTTTGCACTTGGCTTCAGACACTACTGAGCCTGCCCAAAAGAACCTCTGGGAATGGCTGCAGTGTCCATAGGAACTATGAACGCTGTTGGGAAAGTCAACTGAAGAAAAATCTAGGGGTCAGGGACTGGCTGCCACAGTATAAATGGGACTATAAAATGCCAGAGGTCATATCCACCATGTCTGCAATGACAGAAACAGAAGAGGTACAGGAAATGATCAACAGAACAGCAGCAAAGGTTACTAAGTGAGCACAGAACTCCAGCTTCCGTTAGGAAAAGAAAATACTTTCGAAGGGCCAAGCAGCTCTGAAGTAACTGGCAGTTAAAGAAAGGCTTTCACCTAGTCGTAGCAGCTGTGGCAAAACTGGCTTTGGGTGACATGGCTAGAGGGATGGGATCTTAAATCACTTGCTACACTATAAGTAGAATGAAGGTGCAAAAGGCAGTGTTGCAGTACTGCTTGCCTTAAACGTATTGGTGCATCTATTCCCTCCCACACACAATTTCAATAATCATAATTGAGAAAGAATCCCTCGTACTCCCTGTGAGAAGGGGCAAAGAAGAAGATGCAGAACTAGATTTCTGGGCAAATTTATAAACTGAGCAATGTGGGTGTTTGAAATAAAGTCTGTAGGCCTTTATTCACCATAAACCTATCTGCGAAGTACAGATGACTCTGAATAATTTGCTGGGGCACTTCTGGTCAGGGACAAATAAGGTATCAAATTAAACCACCACATTCCTATCTATGGGAAAGAATCTAGCCAACGTGCCTAAATATAAAAAGCAAACGCGACAGAAGAATGCAATCTGAACTAAATGCAGGCTCTGCTACTTGAAACCTCCCTAACAATTTGTTGTAAAAGCATTAATTTTTTTTTAAAAAAATTGAAATTAATCCTCTCTAGCGACTTGCTGAATTGTCACAATGTTCACCTCGATCACAATAGCTCAGGAGTTATTATACTCATACGGACTCTATTGGCAAGCAAGACTATCTGCTCAGAGGTACAGCAAAACAGGCGGTACTACTACAGGATTGGTCAATGGTCCAACTTTGTGAATGACATGCAAGAGCTGTGCATGTATGAGCAATGGTGCAGCACAAAGAGGAAACAGCCACAAAGTTATATGACAAATATATCCATGAATTCATACAAGTCTTCATTTCATTTTTTAATAATAAGAGACAAAGAATCCTCAACCGTACATTTTAAAGACTACGGGGCTACCAAATAAAAAAATTCAAGCGATTACCAGCCTATTAAGAGTGTGGTAAATCTTGTGAATATTTGCCAGTGTTGATAGGTGAGAGTTCAGCTGAAAATCTAGAGGAGGGGAAAATAAAAGAAGTTTCTCATCTTGGTTATGTTACCTTTTAATGGCATTAATGCACAGATTAAGTTAACCCTGGAAAAAGCAATGGAAAGGTTAAGACACCTGGCATTTGCTCTATCATGTGGGTCACTATTTGTTTTCATTTAAAATTCTCTATTTGTTAACATTCCTGAATGTTAATATTCCTGAATGGCATTCAGACCTCAAGCTTTTTTCTAGCCAAAAATAGTACTAGTATTTTCATCAGGTATACTCCACATAAAAAAGCACATCACTTCCAGCAAGGTTCAGCAAACATATTGGTGAATCAAGGCTGCACTGAAATCATCTATTGCCTCACTTCACAGATGGAAAACAGATAAAGGAGCTACCTCATGCATGCTGCCAGAAAGAGTGAAATTAGGATTTGTCAAACACACTGCCTTTGGGGAGAGTAACAGAGCATGTGCTTTAAATGCAGTCTTACTACACGACCTATAATCTGAAACTCACATCCATTCAACTTTTCAGGTGCATGTATTCCCCTGAATTTTAACATGACTATTTTTATATGTTGGTTATCACACATCAAAAGAGATACTGAGTTTCACAAGATAAATACAACATGTTCTGCGAGGCAGGGGAGTTAGGGTATTTGGTACATGGTGCTGCAATGCCATTTTATTTGCCAGGGTTTTTTAAGTAAAATATAGACTACAGGTATCTTGCGAGAGACGAGGGTATTACTTGAGATTTTATTTTGTATGCTTTAAATTGTAATGTTTAAAATTGTGATTTATGAGCCACCTTGAGTCAACAAAGGTAGCATATAAATATCTTAATAAAATAAGTTCCAAAGCTTTTCAGTAAGAGAGTTAAAGATACCATATAACAATTAGCATACCCCTTGCATATAAAGAATTTTCAAGTGGACTATGAAGGGGTATTTGCCTATACAAAATTGCACCTGCAACATGCAGCATAAAGGCTTTCACCGCCGGAGTTCATTAGTTGCTGTAGATTTTCCAGGTTATGTGGTCTTGGCATTGTAAAACCTGACGTTTCGCCAGTAGCTGTGACTGGCATCCTCAGTGGTATAACACAGAAAGATGGAGTACTCTCTGTGTCAACTCACAGCTACTGGCGAAACGTCAGGTTCTACAATGCCAAGACCACGGCCACACAACCCAGAAAGTCTACAGCAGCTTATAAATTGGTTTGTCTCATTTGAGACTGGTTCAAATCGTGGTTCAGGACTGGCAAAGCGTCAGGTCTGTCATGAGCACGGAGAGGTACAGCAAAGACCCAAGCCTCTTCAGCACCGGCATTAGGCAAGGGCAGCAGCCTGGCAGCAGCCAGGATAGCGCAACACAAACATATAGAACCAAACTGTGCGATACAAGCAGAACTACAGCACAATTTAACTGCAGACCCTGACAAATGCAAAGGCTTGCACCAGCATAATGGGCTCCATGGCGATCTCTCTCTCTAGGACTGTTAATTGGCAAGTCATAACAAGCACCACTATGAAAACTT